TCGCTCACTATATGTAACAAATCTAAAAATAAATATATCATAATCGCCCATATTATATAACAAATTCTAGGAACAGAATGGTGAATTTTAGCTACTAAACCTTTTTTGTGCTATATCCTTTTTAAGTTCTAGGTGATCATTTTTTAGACCCTCTGTCGTAGTGTTAAATTCCGTATTCCAAGATTCTTGTCTGGAGTGATGAGGAGGTGTATTTGATTCCATCGTTCATCATTCTTTCTTTTTATCTCTTTTCTTTATCTTGTCAGTCTAGAACAATATATTCAATTAATCTTGATACTCGTATTGACTATAGTATATATAATTATAACACCCAACTGGAAATATTATTTTAAAAATGTCTCATTTCTATAGGAGGATGGGATTTAAATATTTTCTTTTTACCATATAATGTGCTTATAATAACTTATCGTCGAGACAGAGAGGGAGAGGAGGAACATTGTTATTATTGCTATTATGTATTGGGTAAAAAAAAAAGAGTAAACAAATTATCAAATGATACAAAAAGTAAATGTGAACATTTTTTTTATTTATTTAATATACATGTAAATATATACTTGAAGAAAAAAAAATAGTATAGAAATCACCGAAATGGTATTTGAATATTCAAAATATAAGAAAAATTTTGTGAACAATATCCTAACCATGTTAGCTACAATAACAAACCCAATGTTAATAAGAATGCCGCTAATAAAGATATTCGCTGTAATGCAATCAGGTGGACTGTAAAAAACAACTTTGAAAACGCTATAGCATATTTGTTAGGAAAAAGTAAACATTTTATTAAAGGGGCTCATGCACCCAATCACGTATTTTTTTCTGATAGTGACACTGTAAATGTTAGTATATTTGTCTATACTAACCAATATTACTTACAAGAGCAGCAAATTTTGAATGCTGTGGCCACTAATCCAGATCCTGTTAATCCAAATGCGGTTCAGGTGCAACAGCCGGGATCAGTAGCAATACCCATAGGATTTGAAGCACCTGTATAGTAATGTGACGAATATTTTATTTGTCATGTTAACTAATTATTATATCCCCAAACGAGATGATGAAGAGGAACGATTAAAATATTATAGAATCAAATAAATCTGGAAACCATAATGTTTTTACAATAAAACATAAGAAACCTCTGTATGCAGAAATTATAACAGATGCTTAATCAATTCGATATTATCATCATCGTCACCGTTTGGTAATTTGCGTGAACGCGAGTGTATGTATAATAAGATAAAGAAAGATTCGGTTAAAGTGTCTTCAAAATACTAACAATATATTTTATGACACATATGCAAAAGAAATAGAAGAAATGAGAAAAAAAGAAAATGAAATGGAAACATGGCGATAAGAGATAATTATAATGATATTATTTTTAGATTGCCATGCTGATTGTTGCTGCCGACTTATGGTATAAAAACGCTAAAAAAAACAACAACATAAAGACCTCTTTCGTAATAATATGATGATATATAAAGTTGACATTATTAGTAATAATGTTTATTTTTTATATTGGACTGTATTTAAAAACTAGCTGGAGTTTATGCAAAAACTAAACATTTGTGCAAAAATTGGACTTCGTCTATTATTAAAGATTATAGATAGGTAAAACCGAGATCTTCACAGGACATCCGGTAGACACAAGTCCTCAAGACTTTCCGAATAAACGTTTTTCGTCGACAAGGCAAGACCAAACGATCTGTAAAGAAAATATAAATAATGAATAGTATTCTCCGATTCGTTGATCTTTATGCAAAGTTAGAAAACTAGACATTCATATTATACAAAAACTAGACATTTGTATAATATCACTAATAAAACATAAAAAGAGAATCTCCTGGAGTTTGATTATCTGTGGTATATGTAAGATTAAAGAAAATACTAACCATATGTATTATAAACCTTTTCTTATACATTGTAAAAAAAACGTACCAAATATAATACTAAGCGAGAAATGAATAGAATGTATAACAATATGTTGAATTAAAATTATATAATAATTATTATTCCATATAACCTTAACATGAAGAAAGCTATATTTTTTTTTTGGGAGGGAGGGGGGAGGAGAAAAATTAAAGTTCTAATAGAAACCGCAGTAATATATAAGTCTATACTACGGACTGCTACAACAATAACAACAAGAGACGCTATAAAAAATACAAATATGAAATATGGAGACTAATGGTAGCAATAGTAGTAGTAGTAGTAATGATAATAAATTATGATGATGATAATAGTAGTAATAATGATTATGATGAAACCAGTGACATAGATTTAGATAACTACAAACTCTGTAATATTGTTGTCTAAAGAGTCAATTAATAAATAATAATAATAATAATAAAAAACACTGAAAAAAAAAACGACGATGCCAGTATTTATCAAGACGACTGTAAGAGGTTGTTGTCGTTATCTGAAGATGCCAACAAATCATTGCTTTCTTTTGAGACTAACAGTGAAATGGTTAATATATATCGAATCACGAAAAGATTGTCAGTAAAGGCACAGAATCATTTATTGTGTATGCTTCGACAAAGATGCCCCGAGAACATGTTGAATGTTTAATAATGTTCAAAGAGGAGATAACGCTTATTCTTCGTGAGTATGCTCAATTGGTACGTCGTCAACAATTGTTGAGAAATTTTAATACAAACAGTACCAGTTATTCAGGTGAAATGATAAAGAAAATGATTAATATTATATTGAAAATTGATAATAATATGCCTATTGATAAGTATAAAGATGTGGTCAGAGAAGCTCTATATATTTATCACCTCGTCGTGTCTAAGATGACGGGTCCAAAGCATTTAAGAGGTTACGAACACCAGAACTTCATTTTGATTTTTGTACTTTGATAGCTTTACTATCACATAATGTAGAAATTGTAAAGAACATCTCGACAAAATATAGAGTTAGTAGTATTATTCAATTTGTATCGGCTTTAGATTGCCAGTGGTATTTATCTGTAGTACCAAATATATTATCCGTGTTTAACCGGAGTAATTCAATATGTCAAACACTTTGTTTTTCTTACGAAAGACATGCTCAGGTGAATATTACACTGTGTCTCACCTATGCGTTGACCGAAATAAATACAACTAATCTTGTACTAGGAGTGATCTTGTATCTTTTTCCCGAATGTCTAGAAGATATAAAGAGGGCCGAGTTGATTAAGGATGAGAGTTTAATTGTCCCTCTTGCGAGAAAAATAATGGAACATTTAAGAAGCCTGTGGATTGAGAAATCCGATATAGCTAATGCTGCTCATTTTTTGTTAGGGTCTTGTGTAGAAGGATTAGATACGATAAAGGTTTTTAGAAAACAAAACTATGATAAAAAGATATTAGCTGTATCCGTGATGGTTCAACAAAAGCTGAAACAACTCGCTCAGTCGATGAATTATTATTAGCTCAAACCAACATTGTTACCAGTCGATAAATTATTATTAACTCAATCTAATATTGTTAGTATAAGTATTCTTTATTACTCTGTTATATGTAATTGTTGTTATTATTATTATTATCACAAAGGTATTGGCTTGGTAGTTTTATGTTTATCATATTTTATTTCGAATATTTATAAGCAACTATTTCTCTAAACTTTTCACTAAGCTCTATTATGAGAATATTGAGATTTATGATGATGACGACGAGCGAAGTCGGATCTATTGACCGGTCTCTATGATGATGACGATGATGATGAAAGAGAGAGAAAATCGAGATGAAATAAATTAATTTATGGTAAAATAAAAAAATAAAATTGGATATTTTTTCCTTATACCTTTATATAAACTATTTTTTTTTTCGTGCTCGATAGCTTTGCAATAAATTTGATTAGTAGAATGTTTCACGGAGGTCGAGAGGGGCGTAGCTGTAGCAGACTGGTGTTTTTCCTTATCTTCCGAAAGCTGCCTCACTCTTCCACAAATTATCATAACAGATTCTTCGCTCGGTGCCGATGCTTCATATTTATCGTGCGACGAGCCCTATGTGATATCAATACAAAATGCAGAGGAGGGAAAGTGTGGTGATGGTGGAAGACGAAAACCTCGACTGTTGATTCCTTCGTTATCTGCTGCAGCTTCCATTACCGACAATATTGCCAAAATACAAATGTCAGTATTTAAAATACTTGCCAAAGTAGGATTACAAGACGCTATACTGGTGAGTGATTTTAAGCACAAAGAGAGACAAGTCGTAGAAGATGTGTTAAAAAATTCTTGTCAAATCAGAGCGCTTATGATGCCATCATGCGCGATTTATACAAGCTTCGTGAACAAGCTTTAGGTGGTAGCTTAAGAGGTGTCGAATGCGCTTCTCCCGTTTCGGTAGCGTTAGGTGTATGGGCGGTAGGATTACTCGATAATATAATATCCATATTAAGGGGGGTCAGAAACGCATCCTCATCGACTCCGTTTACGAGAATGGCCAACGTCAATGTCGATGTTTACTCCGTCACAAAGTATTTTAACGAGAATCTAGGCGAGACACTCCGCAAGACCGTCGAATCCAAAATAAATAATGTTGGAGATGCGGACAATCTCAAGTCGCTGTACAGAAATGTATTGCGAGAGAGACCTTCCAAAGGATTTAAAATTGGTAATTATATGAAGCATCGAGAATGGGCATCAGATTGGTCCAACTATGAGAGGGAAAAAAACTGCACAATCAACCCGATTACGACATGAAGACTATGTTAGGTGAAAAACGAAAATATGATCAGGGAGAAGGGGAAGATGAAAAAAGGAAAGGAAAATAATTTAAGGTATCAGGAAGGGGAGATCCAGTCGAGAGCTGAAGACATCAGCTGTGTGACTTATCTTTCAGTGTTTTTTTATGGCGGCATCTATAGAAACATAGCTGTAGTGCTCCAATAATGAGGCGTCTTTAATGATACCTTGTAGGCCTACAGTTCAATATCTTACATCAGTTAGGAATAGTAAAATAGTAATTTTTAAACTCTTGTTAAAGTATAAAGTTATTTTTCGGTTGATATAGTATAGTATAAAGTACTTTTAAAACCTTTCGCCAATGCTGGCGTTCGCCTGGCGAAGCTTCGCCAGGCGAACATCTGAGTGAGCCTTACTTTTAAACCCAAGGCAGGTGTTCGCCAGGCCTGGCGAACGAAAGGGATCGCCAGGCGCTAACATCTTGGATTCCTGCTAAATCTAGCGCTTCGGCGAATAAAAAAACGCGAGAAAAAGC